CTATTTACTATTATTATTTATTTTTATGTAATTTTATTTATTTATTTTTTTTTTTTAACTGGGTCGGGCGTCTGGCCCGGGTGCTGTTGGTGGGCGCGGCTAGCACGCCCTGTTAGTGATTGGACTAAATGGCCCTTCCCCTTCACTACCTCTAGCCAAACCCCTCCCATCAAGTAAAATAATTCTTTTTAAGTGATACCAGGGTTGGATGTGGTGTCTCTGGCTAGGGAGCTAACCAGTGTACGCCTCGGTCCAAACCATGGGACAAAAAAATAAATAAAAACAAAACAAAAAAAACAAAAAAACAAAAAAGGGGGGGGGGGGGCACCCCAACCACCAATAACACTTGGCTGTGTCAGGTCACAAACAGACTAGGGGAGCTTGGTTTGGAGGTGCCTGTTGTGGTCCCCCGGTGGAAAAACTCAATGTAGCCCAGAAGTATAATGATGGGGGTTGGGTGTCACTGAAGGTGGTGGAGGGGAATCGTGTTATTGAATCGAGGGGAAACATCTGTGTCTGGGGGGCCTGTTGGTTGCGCTCACTGGCAGTTCTGGGTCAGCCCTCTGACCCAGAGTTTAGAGCAGATGTGCAATAAAAATAAAATTAAATGTATTCTTATTGTCATATTGCTATTGTCACTACTGTTGTAGATTGCTATAGCCTATATTACTATTATTGTCATGAATATTATCAATATAAATACTATCATTGATACTGCCACCACTAACACTAATACAGATACATATATATATATATATATATATATATATATATATGTATATATTTCTTTGTGTTTGTCAAAGTCTCTATCATATCCTCTACAACTATTCAGATACTACCGAATTGCATCACAGAAAGGATCTCGTGTGCCTACATATACCACTTTGTCGATAACTGTGTGGGGCTGTTGTGAGTTTTTCTGTTCTCTGTTGTTTTTTTTTTTTTTTTTTTTTTTTGTTTTTTTGTTTGTTTTTTCCCCCTTTCCTACTTCTGTATTGTAGATGTGTCTCACTGAATCTTACCTGGTATGTGTTACTGTTTTGTTAACCTGCAATAAAAAAAAAAAAAAAAAAAAAAAAAAAAAGACATTCATTGGAAAATGGCAATTACCTCCTAAATGACGTAGCCAAATATGACTTCTCTCTATATAATAAGCACTGCCCCTCAAAAGCCGCCACAATGTGAGTTTCGCGGGGAAAGCTCGCTCCTGACGGAGACGCGAGTAAGGGACCGTGTGGAAAGTGCACTTTTTCTGACGCTTTGTTCAAACACTATATACAATTTTCAACACTTGACAAGCTACCCAGATAGCAAACTGACATTGAATCAACGTGGAAATATGACATCGAAACAACGTTGATCTGACATTGTTTTGTGCGTCATTCTTTCAAAAGTAACGGAAAATCAACTTGAAATCAACGCGTTGTTTCAACGTTATGAAAGCAAACCAATTTTCGATTTTCATTTAGCTTTGAAGAATGCCTTGTCTGACGTTGGTTCAGCGTTAATTCGATGAGCAAAATCAACGTTGTTTCAATGTCATGAGAGACGTTGTTTCCACGTTGATTCAATGTCAGTTTGCTATCTGGGTATAATCCTGGTGATGGGCGTTCCGTTGACGACAGTCTCTGCCTACGGTTTACCAATAACAACTGACTGGGTCATTTGACCAATCGCCGCAGATTCGCGTCATTCAAAGTAGGTGTTTGGGAAAATGAATCGTTGAACGAATCATTTGGCAGTCGTTGAGCAAATCAGTTAAAAATAAATGCATATTATAAGACAACTAAAGTGTTTTTTTATCCTAGCATACACGTTAAACTGTTTTTGGGAACTCCTAAAACAAAAATAGGAACATTTCAAATGCTATGATAGGGGCTCTTTAAACCATTATATGTGTGTGTGTATATATATATATATATATATATATATAGTAAGTAAGTAAAGTTTATTTATAGAGCACTTTTCACAGATAAAAATCACAAAGTGCTTTACAAAGTGCAGCCACAAAAATAAAACAGTATATAATCAGTAAAATTTCAACATTTCAAACATTTAAAAATGTACCAGTTCGAAATACATGACTGCTGGTATACTATTAGCAAAGCTCCTGGTGCCACCCACGCTGCTGAGAGCAGCTTTAGATGAATATGTTATTGTGTGCTGCACGCTTTCCTCTCTATGGCCTCTGTCACTGCCAAGAACTGCTGTGCGAAGTCCTCTACAGTCTCACTGAAGAGGCTGTCTTGGGCAATAGAGACGTTGAGAAAGCAAACTTTCTCAGCATCCTGTATCTCTGCAAGGTTTAGGCACAGATCACACTCCTAGACAACCAATGTGGACCTCACCTGATCCAGGGCCTGTGGCGTGACCTTCGTAGCCCGAAGGGAGACTTGCAGGATGGCCGTTGCATGCAGTGTAGAGACTGCCTGTTAGAGACTGTAAGCTCTCACTGTGAGCGATGAGGTAAACTTGCACGCCCTAGAAGAGAGCCTCGGACAATTCCTCATGGTGGGGCCGTTTTGCGGGAATAAGTACACCACGATCTGACTCTTCTTCTGTGAAACCTCCAAGGTCTAGCCTAGAAATCTAGATGCACCCTAATGGCAGCAAAAATTATTTCGCAGCCAGTGTGGTCTAGTACCTCTCCATAGATGTTTTAGTTGGAAAGACCAAACTCTGGTCAGGCCAATCACATCGTGTATAGAGTCGGCGGGCGGGCTTAATATAAAGATGACAGAGTTGCGACGGTTCACTGCTACTTGAAAACAAAGATGGCTGCTGCTGGCGAACATCTGTCTTTCGATACGGCTTTGACCGCTACTCTGGATGATTTGAACTTAAGCTTTTCTTTGAAACCAGAACAAAGAACGGCACTTATTTCACTTAAAAAAAAAAAATAGATGTGTTCGGAGATTTGCCAACTGGATACGGTAAAAGTTTATAATATCAACTTGATCGGCTGGTGGGAAAACACATGGGACTCAGCAGTCACCTCCTTCGTTGCTCTGATTGGTTGTAGAGCTATCCAATTGCGTGCAGAGAGAATTTGAAAGACAACCGTTTATCCCGCTTCCGGATTGAGCCCTGTCAATGATGAGTTCCCAGACCTAACATCTTGAGTTTTTTGAACAATCAAGCATGAAAGCATTTTCTGGTACACCCCAAAAATAAAATCAAGCCAACGCATTCTCATCCTTTAGCGTCATATAGAACGCTAAATGACAAAACGGCGCCATACTACGCACATGGTATCCGTTATCGTTAATATAACACGCCCTGTGATGGGTTGGTTTAGGTGTGGGGTAGGGTAGGGTACTCTCATATTACGCTAAAGGATTTATGAAGACTTGGGTTCACGTGTTATGTTAACGATAAAGGGTGGCATGTGCATAGTATAGCGCCGTTTTGTCATATAGCGTTCTATGTGACGCTAAAGGATGAGAACGGGCTGAAAAGGGCATAGTAGTAAAGGAAATCAAGTGAAATGTGTTTTTCCATGCGTTTCTGGATGCAGTCTTTACCTAGCGCCGGTGTAGCCAGACCTTCAGACTGACGGCACAATGGTCTGGACTCTATCACAGTTTTTCTTGGCCAAGTACCGCACTTGACTGACATGTAACACAACCACTCAAAGTTTGTTTTGTTGCACGTCATGTTTAGGGGCGTGACAATACAATGTCCCCACAACAACACACCGGCGTGTATCTAATAAATTATTCATTCAAGAATGGTGTGCAAGTTTACTGCAACAATGGAGCCGCATACGTCATATACTTTTGAAAATCCAGCATATAGTTAATCCTGGTAAGCACTCATTGTCACAGTTGTAAACATGACTGCTTCCACAAGGGGTTTTGGAGTCATGGCATTTGTTTCCAGGTAGACCGATAAAGAACGCGACAAACAAGTCTCCGGACATCCTGCATCAGCTACGCTATCTCACGACCAATTCGTACGAAATCGACGAATGATTAAAAAGTGTCTAATTCGTATTAATTTGTACGACCTCACTCATACGAATTCGTACGATTTGTCTAAACCCACGTGATGGGTAGGTGTAGGGGCGGGGTAAGGGGTAGGTCATTCGTACAAATTCATACGAATTGGCCAATTCGTAAAATATGTACGATTTAGCAAAATCGTACTAATTCGTACAAGTGAGGTCATATGGATTGTTACGAATTAGCCACTTTTTAATCATTCGTCAAAATCGTACGATTTGGTCGTGAGATCGGGTTGGTATCAGACGTTCTGCCAATGGTTTGTGGGCGAGATGTCTGAGAATGAGACTAGCTCTGGGTGATAGTCACGATCGTCCCCTCGCATGTCTGGGCATCATGCACACTGAGCTAGATTTCGTGGATGAGTCATGTACCCACTGCAGGATGATGACCATCACGGTGTTGTAATCGAGCCACAAGTACCTCAGACGAGGTAGAGTCCTCTAGTCTATACCCCTATCTAACTCCTCTTCTGAAAGGAAGATGGCTACTTCGGTGAATAGCCAGGGTGACCAGTTGATTACTGTGGGGGCTAACCCGCTGGGTCAGTCTCCGTGCCAGTGTAGAGTAGGGATCCAAATTGGTCAGATCACATCTGACGTAATGTTGAACATGACTGACTGATAGGGAACGCATCGGTCTCTTATGTAACCCTCGTTCCCTGATTCGTCAGATCATTCCTGATGTAACTTCATTCCCTTCTTCAGGGGATGAGGGTTACATACATAACTGAGACAATATCTCCTGGATATTGTTGCTTTGTATGATAATTGCTCCTTCACTAACAAATAGTTCACTTAACATAAGTGCCCTTAGTCCTGTTCATAGTCCTGTTAGATTATGAATAGTATAGTAATCATAATGATAACCAATATAATATCAATTACACTAAATCGATTACAGTCATAATCACATCACCATCACACTTATAATCAAAGATAATAATCATAATTACAATCATGATCAAGTCAGTTCAAAGCTTTATTCAACACTCACCAATGTGCAGTAAAAAGTGCAGACAATGCCAGTGGCAAATATGGATCCCCAAAGATTAAATCCTGTCACTGATGGGTAAAGAATAATAAGAATGTATTTATATACATGGTATTATGCATGAATGTCTCCTAAATGTAGAGCTGACTTTAATATAAATCATCAACCAGGAGGCAGGAACACACAAGGGGATGACCAAATTATTATGAAATGATTTAACATAATCTTCATTAAAATGCAAAATAAATAAACAAATAAACAAGAAAACAAGCAAATCAAATATATAAAATATTAAACTGAATTATTTGTTTAAAGTTTATTTTTATAACAACAGGGGTGTATATCAGCTTATAGGATTGGAACAAGAGGGTAGAGGGTGGGGTGCATGGAATAAAAAAAAGTTGAGAACCACTAAAATAAAAAGTCACAATAAACATACAGTAAAAATAGTCTAAATTAACCAACAGAACTTTATTAAACTGCACCAACTGTAACTACAGGTCAAAATGGCAAAGTCTGTCCGGAACTGCATAAACTTCTAGTGAACCATGCTTTATTGGGAATAACCTCAAAAGATACATTTTTGTTTGTTTTTTGCTCTTTATGAAGCTTGTTCTTTATAGAGATTTATTTTTTCGCCTACATTTCTCAGGTTCCACTTAAAAGAATGACAGAAATTGAGATAATTTTTAGATGATTTTCTTCTTTTAACGCTTACGCTGTTGAAAACCCTGTATCCTCTAATGTTGGCAGTCAAAAATGACCAGCCTTTTAAATATTGCTTGTAATATTGCTCGTTATATTGGGTCCAAGCTTGTTTCCTTTAATTAGGATATTTTCTTTTTTAAACTGACTGACGTAGGCTTCATTGATCTAAGCTTATGCACCTCAGTTTTTGAGTTAAAAAAATTGTGGATTATTTTGTCATTATTCAACAAAATAAGGAAAAAAGTTGCACTGTTTATCCTACTTGTGTGGATAAATATCTATTACATGGAATGTTTGTATGTCTGCTAAACTGACAAATGGCCTGCCATTGTAATGAAATAGGAATCCCAATCTTGCCAATCAACCAGTCAAGTCTGGAAGCATACAGTAGGCTATTGTTACTCAGTAGACTGAGTTTGCCCTGCACAATCACTACCATTTTTGAACATGGGGGAACATCTAAATCCCTAAACAGCAACAGCAGTTTATTTTTGTAGAAATGTGTTGCATGTAAACTGAAAACTGTGCATGTAATCTCACAGTTCCCTTTCAGTCTATAACGTCGGACAGAGTCGACGGTCGACTGAATGGGGATCGCATCAGAGAGCCAATGTTCTTCGAGTACTATTGAACGAGCCAAATGGAATTGGCGTGCATGATTCGCATCGGGTATAAATACGGAAGTGGATGCACGCACTAGTTGCCTTTCGCTGTCTCTGAAGAGTGCTGTGGTTTACAACAAGCGAGTGTGTCTGTGTTCTTCAGGAAGACTCTCCCAGTGCTGGTGTTCTACTGCGCGAGTGCAGCGGTGCGGTGTTAACGGCTGGTTAGAGGGCAGAAAAGTGAATGCTTCTCTGTTTCCGTTCACTGTTCTGTGTTGCCGCGGTCATTCCCATTTGTGCTCTGGCACTGGTGATGGGTCCTATTTCCTGAAAGAGGAACACGGGTGCGTTTACGTCTTTTTCAAGATGTCATTCCACCTGTGCGTTTCTGGATGCGGTCTTTCTCTTTTCCTTTCTGATGGTCACAATTGTTGCATTACGTGTTTGGGCTATATTTTTATGTCTATATATATATATATATATATGTTCAGCATGCTGAGACAGCTTTTGTGGATGGCTCATGTTCTTATTGCGGGAATATGACTGTCGCGGTGTTGAGATTTAGACTTGCCTTCGTCCGCGAAGTGCGATTCCCCATTACCATCCCCCACCCCCGGGTGCCATGTGGGATGGGTGATCGGAGGATAGAGATGGATGTCTCACCCGGTAACCATTCCCTGTGGGCTCTTCACTGGTCCCTCTGTAATGGACCGATCAGCTGTTTCAATGGGGGTACCTCTAAAGGATAAGATGTCGATAGCAGCATCGGAGGGTGAGCTGGCCTCTGGAGATGACGACTCGGTTGTGTTATCTCCCTCTGGTAGTGTAACATTGCCCGAGCCAGATCCAGAAATGTCAGCTATGTTGAAACGGGCCGCCAAGGATGCCGGGCTCGAGTGAAAACTCCACCGTGTCCCGTTCAGTCTCGGTTGGAGGATTGGTTCTTAGCTTGCCACCCCAGTGCTTTTCTTTTCCGAAATGCACAGAGAGCTTATCAGAGGGTGAACGGCACCTTTCTCTGCCAGAAACTGCCTGAATAGCTTTTCCCCCTCACTACCCTTGATGGAGGAACGGTGAAGGGCTGTGAGGTGTCCCTCAATTGGAGCGGTCTGTCATGCACCAATGCACCTGCACCTGGTGCACCTGTGTCTGGCGGCTGCTGCCTTTCGGGGGGATTCTCGTCCCCCCTAAGGCCTGTGAATTCTCGTCCGTTTCAATGGGCAGCGTTTAAGAAGCCTTTGGGCAAGCTGCCTCCTCTTGTATGCCATAGCGCTGCTACAGGTCTGTCAGGCCAGGGCACCCATGGACATGCACGAGGGTAGTCCAGACCGTGCACTCGTGCACCCCACCGCTGGTGGCAGTTCCTCTGCATGCTCATCGCCGAGTGCGTTCCCTGGCCTCAGCTTCTGCTGGGTATCTGCAGCAGCTTCCAGCCAGGCCTCAGCATGAAGCCAAGGAATAGGGACGGCCAGCCCGCTCCAGGCACTGCCAAGCCAGGTGGCAAGCAACAGCGAGAGCATTCCGGAGTGGGCAGCCCAGGATGGAGGAGGAGGCTCTTGGAGTTGGTCACTGATCCACTCCCTCCCCCCGGGTGAGTTCTCACATGTTGAGCAGAAATGCTCCTGAAACTCAGTGAAGTTCATCGCACTCAGGTGTTGTGCTTGGGATTGTGTTCATAGCGTTTTGATGTGTACAAGCCTTTGACCTCAGACCAGCTCTTCCAGTTTCACCATGAGCCCGGTTCAAGTGTCTGCTTGCTGCACCATTCCCCTCCTATGGACTGGATATGTGCGCCTTCTACTCCAGTTGAGTTCCCTTAAACCGAACCCTGTTGAGTTTCTCCACATCCCTCCATCATTGGACGTGCGGAATGTCTGGTGTTAGGCCTACCACTCGTAAGCAAGTGTAGAACTTGTGTTAGGTTGGGTACATATGATGCGGCCCCTACGGTGATTCCATGTGTTCTCTTCAACGATACGGCTCCCTACAGTGAGCCTGTTTCTTCCCTCGGCAGAGTCCCTCTGCTGTCACTGTCCGGTGAGTCTCCCCCGTCATAGGCTGGAGCCACTCCAGTGATATTCCATATGTCGTACTGCCCAGTCATCCACCCAGTTCATGTGTATTCTCCACATTACCTCCCTCCGGATTGAATGTGGCTTCCGCAGCGTCCCTTCCTTCCAATGAATGGGGAACGCTTTCCCAGTGGTCCTGTAGGAACAACAGTGACTTCCCTGGCCTAAGCCCTGTCCTTCCCCATCTTAAAATTGCGGGGGCATCAGGAGGCTTTTGTATAGGCCCTGGAAAGTGGCAGCTTTAGTGGCATTTTCAAAGGTTATCCCCATTCAGTCAACCGTTGACTATGTCCGACATTCTCGACTGAAAGAGAACGTCCTGGTTGCGTATGCAACCCACCGTTCCCTGAAGGAGGGAACGGAGGACATAGTCCCCTTGCCACTACCGCTGGACCTGCTGACTCTGGATTATGCTCAGCTCCTCAGCGAAAAAGCAACCAGTGTGTGCATCCACTTCCGTATTTATACCCGTGACGCGGGGGCGGAGTGTGTGATGCTAATCACGCATGACAATTCCATTTGGCTCGTTCAATATTACTCGAAGAACATTGGCTCTCTGATGCGACCCCCATTCAGTCGACCGTCGACTACGTCCTCCGTTCCCTCCTTTAGGGAACGGTGGGTTGCATTCGCAACCAGGACGTTTCTTGTCATGGAAGTGCAATATGAATGTGTAAGAATGTGTGGTGTTAGGGGAAGAACTGTGAATTTCCAGTTTACATGTAACACTTTTCTACAAAAATAAATGTGCTGTATAAATAGAAAATATTAGTTCCCACTTGATATTAGTTGTCTTTAATTACTATGTACTAACATTTAAATTAAATATTTGATATAACGCACTTATTGTGTTTTTACATGTATAAAAGACCTGCATGTAATAACAGCTCTAATTAAATCTAGAATTACATTGTTCACCCGTCTCTTACCCCTTACACCAACCTTAAAGGGATACTCCACCCAAAAATGAAAATTCTGTCATAATTTACTCACCCTCAAGTTGTTGCAAACCTGTGTGAGTTTTTTCTTCCGCTGAACACAAAGCAAGATACAGTATTTCATCGCATTCTCATCCCAAAGCGCCATATAGGACGCTTTTGCAAAAGCGTAAATATCCAACGCACATGGCACCCTTTAACGTCTAATGAGACGCTTCGGTTATGGTTAAGTTTAGGTATGGTGTAGGGTAAGGGTTAGACCACTAGGGGGCGCCTTCTGCCCAAATATATCTGCGTCTCATTTTACGTTAAAGGGTGCCATGTGCGTTGGATATTTACGCTTTTGCAAAAGCGTCCTATATGGCGCTTTGGGATGAGAATGGGCTCAGTATTTTGAAGAACAATTGGAGCTTGGGCTAGCATTGGAACAAACAATATTCAGTTATTATTTGCTAATATATCATGTTGAGTTTATTACTTATTATTTGCAAATATATAATGTAGTTTATTACTTTGTTAAAACTTAAATCCAGATGGAAATGTTCAATTCAATTACATAAATCTTGGCACCATTGACTTCTATAGAGTTTTTTTTTTATACGATGGAAGTTAGAGGTGCCAAACAACTGTTGTTTTTTTTGTTTGTTTTTTTGTTTGTTTTTTAATCGTTATATCTTCCTTTGTGTTCAGCAGAAGAAAGAAACTCAAACAGGTTTACAACAACTTAAAGGTGAGTAAATTATGACAGAATTTTTATTTTTGGGTGGAGTATCCCTTTAATGCTGGGCTCACACTTTGCCAAAAACACTTTTTTAATTTTGGTGGCATTGTGGAGTTTTTTCAGCCACATTACGTTTTGAAGCATGAATTAAATGTTTTGGGTGAGTTACATTTTGCAGACATGCAATAGAGTTCTGATGTTCAAGCAAACAGCGTTGAGGAAAACTGTAATATAAAACCTTTAATTTGACCTAAAAAGTATACTTTTGTCTTGAAAGTCCACTGTCATTAAGTACACTTCAGTGGAATTTTATTTCATTAATATATTTTTTTTTCTTTTTTTAAATATAATTTTAAGAATTGAAGTAAACTACCAGTGCACATTCAATACAATTAAGTGCACTTCTTTTGCACATGGGAAATACATTCACAAATCCTCCTAAAGCATCTCAAAAAATAAATAAATGAACAACCCACTCAGATTCAAGTCAAGTTATTTTATTTGTTTGTGATGAATGCAGACTAACCTTGATTCAGAGCTAAAGCAGGGGCATACACTACCACTCCAGTGTACAGAATCTGGGGAATTAACAACAGAACAATCAGCATAAAAAAAAACTTGTCAAAAACCAAACCACAAACTACATAATATGCATTTTAAGTGTATGAACATTGAATCACACTCACCGTTTGAATTATATAAATTATAGTGGCTGAAACCCGAACAAGCTTACCAAACCGCAATTCCAAATACTGTGAGAAAAACACAAATTACAAATCAGAACAAACAAGTGTCGTGCTGGGCCCTAACTTGCATAACTAGAGCTGACACAGGATTTATTACTAAAAGTCATGACCTCCAAAAGCCTAGCAACATCTGGCCAACATCACACCTGACAGGGCTGGATTTGCTATTACTGATTTGAATATGGTAATATTAATATATTATGCAATAATGTGATCATGTAATATTAATGTATTGTAAAGTAAAAATGTGCCATAAAAGTTACCATAAAGAGTATTTTGTTTTTATTTGTGTAAGCCAATGTCAGTTTGATTGACAAAACTATTATAATATTTGATTTTATTTGACTAAACAAAATATTACAGTGTAGTATTAAAAAGACACACTACACAAAAATGTAAAGGTCTATTAAGTCGTTGAATTGCATTTCTATTCATTTGGATTACAGTTTTAACATAAAATAAAAAAAAAACTTAAAGGGATCGTTCACTCAAAAATTTTAGTTATGTCATTAATTAGCTACTCACACTCATGTCGTTCCAAACCTGCACTGTAAAAAATATTTTCAAGATTTGTTATCACAACATATTTTCTTTTGTCAAATCAACTTTATAATAATTTATTTAGTTGAGATAACTTATTATTTTGAGTTTCTGATGATTAAATGAATCTCCTTCTTTGTATTAACTCACTTTTTCCAGTTCAATCAACTTAAAATTTTAAGGCAACCCAGGTTACTTACTTTTTTAAGTTAAACCAACAATATTTTTTTTTACAGTGTAGTAATCACAACATTTTTTTTCTTTTGTCAAATCAACTTAAATAATTTATTTAGTTCATATAACATATAATTTTGAGTTTCTGATGATTAAATCATTCTCCTTCATTGCATTATAACTCACTTTTTCTAGTTCAATGAAAGTGTGTAAGCTTTTGTTCATCTTCGGTTTATCTTTTTTTTTTTTTATGAAATCCGAGAGCTTTTTAGGCATTTCAATGTAAATAAAAGCCTAAATTAAATTTGTTCATCATATTAATCAATCGAGACAAGAATATTTGGAATAAACCGCTTAATTGGGATTATGTTTAATGACCTCTTTATGAACTTTCTACCCTATCTCACGACCAATTCGTACGAGTGATTAAAAAGTGGCTAATTCGTACTAATTCGTACGACCTCACTCGTACGAATTCATACGATTTGTCTAAACCCACGTGATGGTTAGGTTTAGGGACGGGGTCAGGGGTAGGTCATTCGTACGAATTCATACGAATTGGCCAATTCGTAAAATACGTACGATATAGCAAAATCGTTCTAATTTGTACGAGTGAGGTCGTATGAATTGTTACAAATTAGCCACCTCGTAAAATTTGTACGAATTCCCGTGAGATCGGGTTGGAACTTTCGTCAAAGTGGTAGTTGCTTAGCTGTCAATGGAGGGAAGGAAATCTCTCAGATTTCATCAAAACAACCTTCATTTGTGTTCAGAAGATGAACGAAAGACTTACGGGTCTGGAGCAGCATGAGTGTGAGTAATTAATCAGTCCCTCCAGGATTTCGCGATGTCGCGATCGCAACTATTAACGCAACTTCAACAAATCCACGTGAATTCAGTGCGCCTTGCAATTTTGAAAAATCACCGCAACTTTTCTGCAACTTTGACAAATCATCGCGCCGCGGTCTCCTGCAAAGCGTCGTCATACGTCAGCAAACTCACTTTTGTTCAGAAGACGCAGCAGATGTGGACTGCCAACGTCTCACATTTAGGCTACCTACAAAAATAACAGAAAACGCCAATGTTGCCAACTTAGTTGTCGCTATATTTAGTGATATAAAAAAAGCGACTAGAGATAAATCTAGTGGCTTTTTGGACAAACCTCAGTAACCAAATTGCCAGCACAATCCTGCGAGCGCGAGGTTTGCTTTCTCCCTGCCGTCACACCTCTCTCTGAGTCCCTGTTCAGTGAACGGCTGCAGTAGAGGAGCAGCACGGCAGCTGACAGACGCGAATGAGCAGTGTTGTTTCCACGGACTTATCACTTATCTGCTTCTCTTTTGTTTTATATTTAAAGAACTGAGTTTGACCATTTTATTTTCCTTTCTTTTCTTGTGTTTATCACTTGTATAGGCTACTCACTATCACAGTGCATTAGTTCACCCAGTTCCCGAACTCTCTCAATTCAGAAAATTTTACACATAAAAAACAGCTAGCCGACTCGTTCTATTGTCTGACAAAAAAAAAATTAAGCAAATGAGAACAGCTTTATTGGATATGCGGCTATATTATATTATATTAGCTATATTAAAATACATTATCAAACATTTGGTTTTTCCACCATTTAACTTTAGTGGCTATTCCTAAAACTGTATTTTGCACTTTATTAGTATTGGCATCTTTCAACACAAATGCTGCTTAATGTTTGTGAGGTTCTGCACATTGACTTTTTTGCAGGTGCAGATCTTGTTTAAAAAAAAAAAAAGAAGCAGTTTGTTAGGTTTTGCTGTGTCTTTAAATCATTTGTTTTGCCTTTTATGGTTACTAATGGTTAGTTAGTTTGTTCGTGTGTTACAAAGTGTGTGACTTTGTCTCTTAAGTCAATTCTGGACTACAATAGAGCAGATGCAGAAGATGAACAGTGTTTTCTGTGGGGGCATAATAAGTCCCTTTGGAGTGGACTTTGGACTTTTCTCTCTTAGTAAACCTATAACATGCACAAAAAAATATAACAACACAATAAAGGAAAGGGGAAAGGCCAAAAAGCATAATATGGGCATTTTAAGTAAAAATCTATCTATCTTTGTCGTTTTAACCTATAAAAACATGCAGAAGAACATCGCAACTTTTATCGCAACTTTTTAAAAAAGCGGCCGCAACATCAGGCATTTTAGGCCGCAACAATCACAAAAAAGGCCCGCGAAATCCTGGAGGGACTGATTAATGACAGAAATTGTATTTTGGTGAACAAAAATGTTCTTCCTTTAATGTGATGCATATTTGTGATTGTGAGTCACAAATTTCACAAGATTTCTGCACACAAAAACCATGGCATACTTTATTTTATTATTAACTATTTACATCGATTTGATTTGATTTAAATAAATGTTTGTTTGTTTTTAATTAATGCATTTATTCAAATTACTTGGAATCAACATAAGTCAATCAAAAATGAATGAACATAGCCCTAAAATAGGGCTAGCTGTAACAATATTCAGTTATTATTTGCAAATATATCATGTTGAGTTTATTACTTTGTTAAAACTGTAATCCAGTTGGAAATTTTTATGTTCAATTCAAGTTCATAAATCTTAAACTTAGCCCTAAGTGTATGTGTATTATTATTAGTTCAAGAGTAAGAGTTGTGTCCATATGAAACGGCAAAAGCGAATTTGAAATGCGCATTCATACCTCGTATGTACTGGTGATGCCTGACCTGTAGAACACAGGCAGGAAAAGCTCTGCGGTGAAAAACACCACAAATGTGTAGGCGACACCAAAGATGATATAAGAGGCCCCGAATCTGTACACATCTGATGGGGTCCCAATCACCGTCACTGCAGACATGAAGCTGGCGGTGAGGGAAAGCGCCACCGGCCCGCAAGTCATCTGACGGCCCCCAACCATAAAATCTTTAGATGAAGGTTTGTTCCTCTCTCTGATGGCGAAGAAGACCCCAATACTTGAGGAGACCACAAACAGAAGCGCAAACACCACATAGTCCCCGACCTGGAAGGTTCCCACAGTGGGACTATTGCTCTCCATGTTTCTTTAGTTAGAGACAGAATCTGATGGAACAGGTCGTTAGGCTCCAGGATCAGTTCAGACACCTCACATGTTAATCGTGTTAATCATTGAGTTTTAACAGGTTAAAAAACGCTTATGAGTGAAGACAAGGGTCCAGGGGTCTATTAGTCATTACAGTACTCACGCTTGACTTCATGAATTTCCACAAAGATGTCTATCTATCTATCTATCTATCTATCTATCTATCTATCTATCTATCTATCTATCTATCTATCTATCTATCTATCTATCTATCTATCTATCTATCATGTTTTATTTAATCAAAGTAATCAGTGTTTATTTTGGATCTGAAGGGCAGTAATGGTGACTGTCAACATATTTTACTTGGCTTAGCATTTTGTTCATTATTATCTCACTTCTTTATTAACTTATGTGCTTGAGTGATGTTTGTAAGGCTTTATCATGCGTGAAACTGTCGGATGTTTATTTTATCCTGGCACACTGCTGACGAAGTGTTGCCATAAGCAGAAAGAATGCTGAATGCTGCACATTTTGACAGATGTGATAATGTTAAACATTTTCAAACAGATTCAAATCCACTTGCATTGAGGGACATCACAATATTCAGTCAAAAGTATAATAAGACCAACATAGAATAGAATAGTGTGTGAAAACAGGTCAAGTGCAGACCATTAGTCATCCCAGATAAGTAAATTAATGCTGATTTTAGTTCCTCTCTTGTATTCACTCGGTATCATTCTGTATATTACAATGTTTGTTTATGACCGATAAATGACCAACTATGATATAACCAATTAGAGTTATTACAGTGTTACACATATATAGGCTACGTAAAAAGTAAGTTTAAAAGCTCTCTCTCTCTCTCTTTATTTTTTTTTCTTTTCCTTTCACCGTGCTTGTTTGCTCAGTGAGGTCATTTGAGAGCGCGTAAAAGCGCACGGGACTCAGATTACAGCCTTGAGCGTCTCCTCTAGTGCGCATACTCGCATGAGGAGTTCCAGATGTGGACATCGTCTCCGTCAGGTCAGTCAGACCTTCGGAGTGGACAGAAGCTGTCTATCATGTTAGCCTTCACACTCGGTCTGTTTTTATTGCCGCTCTGCGCTACGGTCTACACGGGACCTTTACTCCCCGAAATGTCCAACGGGACTTTTCACCACTTCTTCGTCCCGGACGGCGATTACGAGGAGACCGAAGACCCGGAGAAATGCCAGATGCTTTTCAAATGGATCGACCGCAGACCATGTCCACTGGAAGAAGACCAGGACTCGCTCATTCGAGAGGATTTTATCATCGTTAAACAGCAGATTGAAGACGCAGCGCGCGTTCTGGAGAGCCTTGGGAAGAGCATTTCCTACGACCTGGACGGTGAGGACAGTTACGCGAAATACCTGAAGAGGGAGATTGTGCAAATCAGCGATGCGTTTACAAACGTGGAGAAATCTCTTCTGGAGTTGGAGACGAAATTCAAGCAAAGCCAGGAGATGGAGCAAAGAGAGGAACATGAGTTCACCAATAACTTTATCAACCCCATGTATAGTGTGAGGGACACCCTGCAAGAAACCCTGGACATCTCCTCCGGACTCAAGGATAAACATGAGCTCATCTCTCTGATCATTCGGAGTCATGGGTCGAGGTTGAGCCGACTGAAAAATGACTACCTGAGTGTTTAGACTCACAGATATTCTGGACAGACTACAGTCCAACTTGGGTTGTTATTGCATCTCTGTTAAATTCTTTAAATTTCCCATGCATGAAACTCTCTTTTGAGGTTCCTTCACTCATAAAAATAAAGCAAAATTCAATAGTGGAGAACCATTTTGGATTAGGGTTTCTTTATATATATATATATATATATATATATATATATATATATATATATAAACTTAAAAAAAGTAATGCCAATTCAGATGTATTAACATGTATTAGCAGGTACCTCTATAAACCTCCAAAAATGTTTGATGTGTCTGTAAATGTAAAATACAGAAGTCTTATTTCTGAAAACATTTTCTAAATATTTCCATTGTGCAATTTTTGTCTCTGGGCATGCAATCAACCAAGATGAAAGGATTAGTTCACTTTAAAAAAAAAAAAAAAACTTTTACTGATAATTTACTCACCCCCATGTCATCCAAGATGTCCATGTCTTTCTTTCTTCAGTCGAAAAGAAATTAAGGTTTTTGATAAACACTTCAATGGGAACCAAACGGTTCAAGGTCCAAATGAGAGTTTCAGTGCAAACTGTTCAAAGGGCTTTAAACGACACGAGATGATTAATAGGGGTCTTATCTAGGACCCTTCGAGTCATGACTCGAAAAAAGATTTGTTCATTTTGATGAACGAGTTCGCGCATCACAGAACAGAGCAAGGCGAGAATTTGAGCTAAAACTTAAATTTTTTATTTATTTCTGAAATGGCCAATTATTTCGCTAGATAAGACCCTTATTCATCGTCTGTTGTCGTTTAAAGCCCTTTGAAGCTGCAGTGAAACTCTCTTTTGGACCTTGAACCGTTTGGTTCCCAATGAAGTCCATTATATAGAGAAAAATCCTGGAATGTTTTCATCAAAAACCTTAATTTCTTTTTGATTGAAGAAAGAAAGACGTGGACATCTTGGATGACATGGGGGTGAGTAAATTATCAGCGAATTTTTTTTTTTTTTTTTTTTTTTTTTGAAGTGAACTACTCCTTTAAAGGTGCAGTCTGTAAGAAGACAGCTAGTGGTCGAAATAGGTACTGCAGTCGAAATCCAAAATATCGTAATCGCTGTTTCCCCGCCCCCTCCTCCTTAGACTCCATAGATACCGTGGCTTTTTAGGTTGGGTAGAATCTGCAGTCTCTGTCCCGCTGGCATCCCATGGTGTCGAAATAGCCTATTGGGTGAACTGGCAGTGGGCGGTATCACACAGACCAAAACAAAAACAGAAACATTCCCAAACGCACATTTCAAAGTAAAATAACTGGCTGTAGAACTGTTTTTCGGAGAAACGAGTATGTGAACTCAGCATGTTTCCTAAATATCATATCAATATTATGGTATTTATTTTCATGCTTTAAGGCGAGACACGGCAGGCAAAAACGTTCAATTTTGAGATTTTGGGCAATTTGTCTTCAATAACATGTCTTATTTCAGACTTGTGTAGAAAAAAAGTCCAAAATACACATTTAGGTCTTTATTTTACAACACTCTGTGTGTTTGCGTGTGTGAATTTCGCCTAAATTCATCAAAAGTTGCCGTTTTTAATCATCCCGCTGCTCCGTGATCGCTGTCTGCACCGTCATCACACAGGCCGTTAGAAAGCTCTCTCTCTCTCTCTCTCTCTCCTTTGCAATGCTGCCGGATCCAAATATGGTCATTTCCTGTTTATCAGCAACCAATCATGAAGTAAGTGGACGATTTAATTCTATGTAATACTAATCAAATCTGTAATTGTGCGATCCTAAGGTGGTTGGAGTCTCTCAGGCAGAGACATATTCACCTGTGTGATGGACTATTGATAATCTGATGTGTTGTTTTGGATGTTATGACCATGATGGATGAAGCAATAATTAGTTTTGGATGTTAAACAGTGTGATATATGTATTTTACTTGGACCTAAAGCATATATTATATAGAAATTAGTGGGATTTTGTCTTAAAAATCTTTAAAGGCCGTTTTTTAAAAATGTTTTTTCTCACACTCCTAGTGACGATTTGCAAATTCTGTAGCACCTGCATACAGCTAACGTTACAGTCGTAATCCTGAATATATTATGATGGCTTGTCCAAGGGATTTGTTAATATATCAGTCTTGGCCTGATTTATATGACATTTTATACCTAAAAATAGGGCAGAAATCATTTTTTTATGGCAATTGGCAGTATTTTCCGATTTACAGGGTAACAAAAAGAGATATTCAGAATCCCTTCTGATAATGTCTTTTCACTGAATCTATCAACAAAATTCAAAAATTATTTTGAACATTGTTTTTTTCAATGGTCAGATTTGTCACTTCAAAATATGCAAATAAGTGCATATTTAATTAGATATAGCCTGATTAGCATATTTAAACATAAAATTGCATTATGCAATGCATTTTTTTCTCCTATTCATGTAATCAACTGGTAAAGTGTCATGGTGATATCTGTAAGTTAAAATATATTCACCTGTAGTGTCTCACCTTAATATGATGTCACTTTGTAGGACAACTTGGAAGCTAGCGGCGCATGGGTTCCCTCCATCGAAAAGCTATGCATTTTCCCGATTGACTTTTGGAAAATCGCAAAAAAATAAGATCTGTGTTTAGCAAAGAGTTGTGACCCATACACATTTTGTCTATCAAGATAATCTTTACAAGTTAATCCAAAATTCATACATTTTAAAGCGTATATAAAGTTTTTTTTAAAAACAAAAACAAAAGCAGAAACAATAAAGTTAAAAAAAACACAAGCAGGTTATAACTGTGTGTTTTATGTCATAGATCAAAACGTGAAAATATTTAGAGGCTTTGTTCACCACAGACCTTATTCAGGCGATTTAGCAAAAACCCAATGAAAAATCCCATAGACTTTAGAGCGAGGGAGCCGGGAGTGCTAAAATGCTAACTCACTTCCGCGTTTTGGCCAACAACGTGACAACTTCGACACTCTATACAGGCAAAAACTTTAATACACCTTTAAATGTGTATGCCTTTTTTTATTTTTTGATTAGTTGCACAAATGATTAAACTGTTAGACTGAGTCACGTTTAGGTTCTGGTAACCTTAAATGCGCTTCATGAGGTGTAGCATATAATTTAACTGGTTTTATTTAAATAAAAAATATTGTTTAATAAGATTTAATTAAAAAAATTCCCATCAGATCCAACCCGATCTCACGAGAATTCGCACAAATTTTGGGAGGTGGCTAATTCGTAAAAATTCGTACGACCTCACTCGTACAAATTAGTGCGATTTTTGCTAAATCGTACATATTTTACGAATTGGCCAATTCGTATAACTTCGTAAGAATGACTACCCCTGACCCCGCCCCTAAACCTACCCATCACGTGGGTTTGGACAAATCGTACGAATTCGTACGCGTGAGGTCGTATGAATTAGTACGAATTAGCCACTTTTTAATCACTCGTACGAATTGGTTGTGAGGTAGCGTAGTCAGATCTCCATTATGAAAACAACGGCAGTTTGAGTTTTTAGGTACTCAGTCGTCTGGTCTCTCTCAGCTGTCTGTGTAATGCTGAGCGTTGACATTCAGTGCCGGATGATTGAGGAAGTTCGAGGGTTGGTGGTTAAACAAGCTGGTTGAGATTTGGTATTTCCTGTGTCATTAGAACAGAAAGTCTCTTTCTCTTTCTGCCATGTGGAAGAATAATCAAAGTCTGCATATACAAAGAAACACAATCTACCGTTTCTACTTCCAGCTCTACAATAATGCAGGGATATTTGCTGGTGAACAGTTTTAACCTTTAACTGTAGTCCATCCATGACAAAACACCACGCTGAAGCATAAAACATACCCAAACCACAGAAGTATAAACCATAATGTTGTACCGAAAGCACTGTGTTGCTGCTGCATTTTAATCTCTAACCAGAACAGTGAAGTACTTGTAGATGTTTTCTCCCCACAGTCCCCTGGGCTGCGACTGTTTTCTTTGTCTTCCTCTCTTTCAGATTTGTATTCTTGCTGGAGGTTAAAGCTCAAGGAAAGAATGCCTTTGCTAATGGTTTAGTGTTACCAGTTCAGTAACATTTCATATGGATCTGGTCTCAGTGGTTTTGCTGTAAAAATTAAATAATAAATAAATAAAGATGTTTATTTTAAGTAAGATACTGTAGTATCTATTGGCCACGTATGGAACCCCGGGGTTCTATACAGAACCCAGAGGAACCCTTTTTTTAAGAGTGTATAGAACCTTTTATGGGTTCCAAATATGTAGCGCTGATAGAACCTTTTCTTCTAAGAGTGTGAGAGATGCTGTTTTGATCTGCCAACCTTCTAGTAGGGCTTTGAATGATGTGTTAGTGTTGTTAGATTAAGATAAGAATAAGTTGCATTAAAAAAGTAGGTAACACTTTACAATAACAGTACATGTTAGCTTTTAAAATGGGATTGTTCTGAATTAGTAATTATATTGTTATGAAGCAGGATCCAAGTGCAACAGTGTTTTTTATTAAATAAAAGAACAGAACTTTGACATAAACTCACTCTTAGAAAAAAAGGGTTAATTGGGGTTCTATATATGAATCATAGAGCTCTTTACTCAACTCCAAAAAACCTTTTATGCTGAAAAAGGTTCCATAATGACAAGAAAGAAAGGTTCTTTATAGCGCGTGACGTCACCGTCGGCCGGAGCGCCTGCAGTTCCTCACAGTGAGTGGCAAAAAGACTGAGCGGCTGTATGTGTTTCCAGTGTGAATGCCGCGAAAAACAAACACTCATATAAAGTGGGAAAGAGCTTTGCGATTGACTTTACAACTAGATTTGACAAAAAATCGGAGGTATATTTTTACAGACTGCTATAGAAAGAGGAGCAAATGAAACAACTGGACTCCAGTCAGCGAAAGCTGGATTTGCAGTTATCATTTTGTGTCAATACGCTGAATTTAGGGGTAAAACCATACCCATATATTTTTTATTGTGATATAATAACTCATCAATTAAATATTTATCATTGCATATTCTGCATTATTGGATGTTTTTTAATAAACTTTTTTTTTTAATTAACACTGACCAAAAGAAAAACCATAAAGTTTTAGGGCTGGACGATATGATGATATATATAGGCTATGTTTATACTGACAGTGTTATCTCTGAAATAAGTGATCACCCGGATTTAGACCTACCTACGTATATTGTATTTATGTAAAGCGTTCACATACAAATTTGCTTTATGTTTAGGTCTATATTACTTTTATTTTATTTTTTATTTACCAGAGAAAGGGGAGGTAACCTGTCCTCGTTATAACGTCATAACGAGAAGATTCAAGATCAGTGCGTCTGAGCTGCAGAGAAGAGCAAAGCTCGGTTTA